TTACACAATATGATCACTTATTTCTTGTTTCAGTTTTAATACCATTTTCCTTTAATATTCCATTGTGTTTATTTTTAAAGCATATGTACATTGAATTTGTAATAAAATGACTTTATTGAACACAATGAACAAAGCCACCTGCATTTCCCATCTTAAGCAAATTAAGTTTGCCAGTAAATAGTTACAATTATAAACATCCCAGGCATTTATACTCAAGAACGGGATACAGGGGCAGAATCATGTACCAAATGATGAATACCAGCAAGTTCGTGATTAGAACAAATGACCTAATTTAGGAAAAATAAAATAAAAGCAGCTATCATCTCTTCAGTCAAATTAACTAGGATTCTATCCATGAACCATAAGCTCAAATTACTACAGTTCTCTTTTGAAAAAAAAAAATTACATAAGAAAACGAAAGACAGATATCTACTAAGCATCCTATACAATACGAATTATATTATGAAAACATATTCTATTCGAATCCAAATCCTCAGGTGAGTTTTTAGTGATGACCTGAGTCTTAAAACACAATGATGTTGATATATTAAAATGTATATTAAAAAGAATGAATATATTTTTAAACATCAAACTCAATGTCCATAAGTATAGTTTGAAGACCTGAGAAAGAGAGAATACCAAAAGCTCAACATAGAATTGAAATTCTATTCTGAAGCATGTTTGGTTAAAAGATTATAAGTGAGAGTTTTTTTCTGGATTCACAAGTCTGCTACTGAGACCATATCGAATGGAGAAACCAAACAGATGATCCAAGATAGAATTGCAATTCGTAGTTATATAAAAAAAAAAAAAGTTTTGGTAGCGCCAAAAGATGAAAACTGGTTGGAAGAAGGTAAAGTCTTGGAAACAATGGGAAATATTAATATAATGATAATCATAGTTGACATATTACTAAAGCAAGATAAGTCTACTCAAGAACGTTGCTAATTCATCTGTCCTAATCACTAGACTCGACTCAAATGCATATTCCCTGGAGACAATTTCCTACTAACATTATTCCTCACTTTCTCACTTTCTCTTCTTAGAAGGTGGCTGGGGAGTTTCCTCCTCCTCCTCCTCCTCCTCGTCATCATCTTCGTCTTCTCCATCGTCATCTTCATCATCACCATTGTCATCATCATCATCATCCTCGTCCCCATCATCACTTCCTCCACCATTAGCCTCAGGATCGTCTTCAGGATCCCCTTCTTCATCAACTTCTTCACCAGAGAAATCTTCGTCGTCCGCATCATCGTCATCCTCCTCATGTCCTTCTTCATCCTCCTCGTCATCCTCATCATCATCAGTTCAACTCTCATTTTTGTTTTCTAGATAAGCATGTTTGCTACCAAAAAGGTCGTCCAATGGAAACCTGACCAGGATATAAAACAGACATGATAATCAATAACTATTTGAAATGAGGTAGATACGTCCTTAATGTTAGGAGATACGTAAACGAGAAAGCAAAGTTTTCTACATTATTGAGGTGCTTCAGCTTATTCTTACCTTCCACCCGTGGGAATCAAATTTGGTGACACTGGATTAGTGCCATTGGTCACCAGATATCCAATCTGAAAGGAAAATAAACAAAAGTAAATTAAAAATAACTACTGAATTCCATACAATAAAGGATACATACCAAGAATAGTTCTGAAACCAACTAAACCCATGACATATGTGCAGACACTTGCTATAAGTTTTTTTAGATATTCAATAAAGAAACAATGACGAAAAATTCTAAAATTACATATTTCAAATATAACTTGCAGCTTTTCAGCAGTTTATCTCCTCTCAAATCCTAAGAAAGACAAAATGAAGTGTTGGTAGACACAACAACTAACGGGGAGTATAAGTGAACGGTACTCTTTTGCAGAATTAAGGAAAATAATTTGGTTCCTTTTTTTTCATTGTATTTGCTTGTTTTGTAGCATTAGGAGAATCCCCACTATTCCTGTTCGTGACCAGTACACTGACTTTCTTAATGTCATACTAGCTAAAAAACTAAGAAAAGGAAGCACAATGATGCCCATTGGCCTTCACTGGTTGCAGATACTATCAAAGAAATGGCAGGAATCAGCCATGTAAGATCCCATCCCACAGTAGCAAAATGTCCCGCTATTTGTCCCAACTCACACATCTTTAGTTGGAACCCCAATCCATACTTTTTGACATGGCAATAGTTTGTACTCTGAACAAACAAAAACAATGCCTCTGATAACATACGTACTAATGACAAGCAGTACAGATACAGAAAGTACTGAAACAAAACATATTGCACAAAAGTCTGTCGCTCACAGGAAAACAACATTAAATTGAAAACAGGAGGTAGAACACAAACGGAGAACCAACAATATGCTCACATTCAAGACAGTTAGATGAAACATAATGGTAGATAATCCCTACAGTTAATGGCAAACACTTGTATGCAAAAAGGAAACCCTGCTTTGACCTAACTAAGAAGGGAATTCCAAGCATGCAAATCAGTGAAACAGCTGAACCCTATTTCTGAAAATGCTTATTCAAGTATTAATATAGTAAGAAAAACAGTAAAAAAGGTGAAATTGAAGGGGCAAATGATGTGGAAATAAAAGATAGGTTTTTGAGAGAGAAATACCAAAGCCATAGATTGCGCGGCGGCGAGAATAGTGTCAGCTGCCACAGCTTCGAGAAGAGAAGGCATTTGGAGAACGGTGTGAATTGGAATCTGAAGCTCCATTGCAGAAACAGTATGAAGCTGAAGCTGAGAGAAGACAAGTCAAAGGGTTTGGTCCCAATCTGATTACTGATTAAAGTAAACCCCACATTCTCTACCGTTTAGGGTTTTTGTGAACCAAATTGCTATTGCTATTGCTATTTTCTATTGCCACTCCTAATTTCGTTACTTCCACGCCACATCCCTTTTTTTTTTGGAATTGGCTATAACAATTTCCTTCACTTTGAGTCAAGGCTTTGGATCTTGTGCACCTTTGGGCCTGGGCCCATTTTTGCAAGGGTTTTCATGTGCCCGCAGAAACTTGCACGAGTTACAAGTTCAACATTAATTGTCATAACATGTTTTCATATTGTTAAATATTATTTTTGTAAGTTATTTTTAACTTAATAAAATATTCTTTTAAAAAATTATTTTTACTTAACAAAACGTTTTTTTAATAAATTACTTTGAACTTAATCAAATATTATTTGAGCAACTCACTTTTAAATTAGTTAAATATTTTTTTCATAACAACAAACACTATTAAATAATAACTGAATATTATTGATCAAACAATCACTCATAATCATAATTATGATAAATAGGTTGTGTGAATAGTGTTTGATAGATCATACACAAATCTCTTATACGTATTCTTCTATTTTACTTTATTAAATGAACACGACCAATTTTTTTATGAAGTTTTTACTGACGAAAAAATTTAACACCACACAAACTCTACTCAAAATGTTTGTCATTTATATTTATATATGGAATATGTTTACCAAAACTAATTTATAAGTTAGCTTGTAACTAATTATTATTACTAAAATATTAATTTACAAGTTTGGAGTCAATAAATTAGTTTATTAGCAGTATTTAATTAAACTATTTATGATACGGTATAAACATATATAATTACATAATGCTGTTATGCAAATAAAATTTTTACCTTTTTGAAAAATAAGATTATGTAATTGTTTTTATATATTTTAAAATAATTAAATTTTTATACAACTTTTTATTATGAATTTTTTTATTTGGACTAGTAATTTTGTTTATTTAGTTTATTTTATGAGTATTAATTATTTATTCTTTTAGAATTTTTTATCTATATAAAATTAGAAATAAGTAATAATATGTAAACGATTTAAGAATAGAAAAAATGAATAAAAAATTTAAATTACAATAATATGACAATTAAAAAAGTTACAAATTAAATTAAATGAACTAGATAAAGTAGTTTGTAATTTTATAAACTAAAAGCTTATAAAATAAGATATTAAACGTTTTCATAATGATCAGAATAATTATAATTTACTCAAATAAACTAATAGGCAATTTATTTATTTTACCAACTACATTCATATATTCACTTTTTTAAGTAAAAAAACTTATTAAGTTTTTTTTTAATTCCAGTTTTATTTGAAAACTATGAAATAAGGACCCATAATAATTGGAGTAAAGCAAACTTACTCACAAAGCATAAACCACACAACACATAACTGCATATAATGATATTAAAAGTCCAAGGAGTTATACAGATTTAAAAAAAAAAATAGGATTTAAAGTTTTTGTTCTTAAACTTCCTTATTTGAGGTTTTCTCCTTGCACCTCCCAAATCTTGAGTTGCACCTGCTGATCTGGTGTGGTCCCAGTGTTGGTGTTGTGGTGGTCCCCATGATAGTCACGGTGGTGAATAGTGGTGTTGTCTCGTGTTGCTGATGGTGATGTTATTCGTTAAGAGATTATATACGAGAATATTATGGTATTAAAATGAGATGTTAGGTTAACATTCCATGGTCTTTTTATTATAAATATGATTCATAAATATGGTCTTTTTATTATAAATATGATCCATAAATTTAAAAAGGAATGTATATAATTTAATTCAAAACTTGCAGCCAAGGAGATGAAAAAGTATATACTTTTTATCCTTATAAATTTATATAAAAATATTTTAAAAGAAAACCTTTTCAAAGAATTTCTTAAATAGACAGAAATACCTAGCATTACCAATGGAAAGAAGAAGAAAAAAAAAAGAACAAGATCCAGAAACAGATACTCTGAAATACATTTAGTACATACCTGAAATAAAAGTTGCAGTTATCATAATGCACACTCATTATACTGATAATGTGAAGCTGAGGTGTGACTGAAGGAGTTTTGCAATAATTAATAGACAATACAACTAGCAGTCATCACCATTTGCACATACAAGGTTGGGGACATAACCGTATTAGGATTATTGACTTCATTATATGAGGGGCAAAGAATAGGCCACCACTAAAAAAAATGTGAAAATGGGTGCTACCAAGAAAACAGTAGTTTGAATATAACCAAATCAAAATGGAAGTTTCAAACTAGACAACTAACAACAAGCCTTTCACTAATCACTATATTTTTTTATTGTCAGATCAACAGTAGTTTTAAATGTATTTTTCACAGCACAACCTATGGTTTAAGAATTGCATGACCGCCAACAGTTCAAGGAATGATTATATTCATAAATTTCCTCTTTGCAAATGCCAACCACCATTTATTTGGAGTGCCATTAGGTCTGTATGCAACACTTAATAACCTCCCACTTGTTTCTTCCCTTATCTGCTTCAAATAATTTCTGAACAATTCTGCATCGTTGAGATCACAAAGCTTAAAATACAGGAATATGAATATAAATAAATACATACACACACGTGTGTGTAGCCTGTAAAAAGGTTGAGTAAATTGCAACTGCATCAGGTAGAGTAAACACAACAATTTATAAAAGTTCAATCTAAGCTAGTATGAGCAATTTTAAATTCCCAATATGATAACAGTGTTCTCACCATCAATCATGTAAAGCAATGCCAATTGCACTGAGAAACATAAATTACGTTCATATTAAATGAGTTTCAACAATGACAGATCATCAGTTCTTTGAAAAAATATGCAAAAGACGCTTGACTTGACTCTTAAAAAGGCTCAAGAATACAAGAAAATAAAAAACCTACATATATTGGTATAAATACAAGCTGAAATTTCCTCATAGGTGCAGAAAGTAATAGAACTGAAGTTCCCATTCCAACTGCTTTTTTACACGTCAAGTACATATTACAGTCTATTTTATAAAGTATTCCTATACTTCCTATTTTTTTTAGTTGGAATCTGAGCAGCAGTGAACCTGAACACTACAAAATTTGGATTACAGCAGCCATATAAAGTCACTTAATAGCTAGTGAAGTTAGTTGTTTGAAATGAACCTCTCAGAATGATAGTTTTCCAGACTTGAGTCATATCTTCAGATCACTGAGGACATTTGGTATCATTCCAATCCATGACTGTATTATGGAAATTAACTTAGATATACTTATCTGGCTTCATGGTTAGAGCTATACCTGCATCCCTACTTTCAGAAAACTTCTAACAAATGAAGGAAGATACTCGAATAGTTCATTATTTGCCAAAGCCTAGACTTTCTTTGTTGGGTGTGTGCTAAAAATTCACAAAGATTAAGCTCTGATACAATTTCTTGTCTTCAAAACAAATGCCAGCCCCACATTGAGGCACAGACACACTCATTTGGTCATGTGAGTTTAAAGTGAACTTAGCCAGCAAATGTGAAAATGATGTCAAATCTTGGGTAAGCAATCGATTGAAAAATAAAATGATTAAGGAACAACTCAAATACATTTTTATTGACTATTTTCCTGAGGCAATGGCGAAGGAATCAATAGATACTTCTCAATAAAACCTGGGAGGCGGACACCGATTAAACACATAGAGAATTAAGTGCTATGATTAAGCTAAGCTTATGCGTCTACTATAAGAACATGAAGGTAAAGGAACAGTAATCACAGGATTCACCTGCTTCGTCGTGTGATTGAGGAAGGGGGAAAAGGCCCGGAAATGGAAAGCCAGACTCTCCAGGGACAGGAACCTTTTCAAGACCCAAGTTGATGATTGCCTTGGTTCCTTCAGCCAAGGTTCTACAACCTTCAAGCCTCTTAAGAGCGATGTTGATGTAAAAGGTCAAGTATATGAGAAGCTTATCAGCAGGGCTCTTGATGTCAAAGTTTCTGAAGAACACATTGGCTCGAAAGAAGGTGATGGCTTCATCCACAATATCAGTTGTATCTGTACCACACATCACAGTCAAAGCATATCCCACATCCAGAAACAACAAAAAGCAGAACTGAACAAAAAAAAATAGAAAAACCTTGATCTGAAACAGGAGCAGGTCCCTTGATATGGCTCTTGAGAGGAAGAAGAGGACACCCACAAGCTCTACTCTCTACATCTTCGTTCACAAAACTAGAGTGATAAACCTTTTCCATACAGAACAATGACAACAATCATTTTCAATTGGGAATCAAAAATTGACAACGCCGCAAAATTATGAATTTTGAATAAGCACGAATTGAATTGAATTGAATCCTTCGTACCATGTCTATTGTGGCCACGATAAGAACAAGAAGATTCCAATTGCAACCCAAGCGTTTCTGAAAATGCAGGGAAAAGAAAACAATCCAAGCATGTAAATGAGTAATTCTTTGGAGTGAAACTGAGAAATTGATAAATGTGCACCAAAACAACCAAAAGTGGAAGTAAATTGAATAATTAAAATGCCAAATTTGTTAGGTGATGTGAAATCAAGATTGCGGAAAAAGTAACTATAAATTGGAATGCGATCTGACAATAACGATGGTGGTTAGTTTATTCTTTATACCAATGTCAACAACGCTTAAGAGACAAGTAAACAATAACTATGAACGTTGGTAATTTATTCGGGCCAGCTTTCAACAACAAGCCCAAACTCATTTAGCCCTACGACATTCTTTGCAAGAAAGTCCATGGTTCATTTCATCCAAAAAAAACCATGAACCTAACCATAAATCCTAACTTTAATCCTAGTCTTAACTCAAACTCAAGCCCTAACCCAAACACATACCCTAACCCTAAACGTAGTTATACTAGTAACCCTAACTCTTCTCATAAAACCTAAACGAGGATGTAAGCCTAATCCTAACCTATCCCTGACCATAATCCTAAACCTCAAAACCAATCGTAACCCTAACCCAACCTCAAACCATAATCATACATTAATCCAACTCTAACTCTAACACTTTGTTCACTTAAATGTATATGGGAGAGAGTAATTGAATGGATTTGAAATAATTTGAAGATAAATTTTTTGTTGTTTAGTGGATTTGGAGGTAAGTAAGAGTGAATTTGAAAGTAAATTTTTTTAATTTGTTACATCAATCAAATCTTACACCAATTCTCACAAATTTTACTTCCAAATTCACTTTATCCACTCAAATAAACAACAACAAAATTTACCTTCAAATTTCTCAAATATATTCAATCACTTTCCCCTAAATTCATTCAAGTGAACAAAGCCAAATATAACCTTAAACCTAATCAGAACCTTAACCATAAACCATGATTCATATCCATAATTGTAACCCTACTACCAACACATAAACCCTAACCGTAACACTACCAATAAACCTAAACATAATCATAAACCCTAACCCTTAAACTTAAACATTGACCATAATTATAACTATAACTCTAATCCTAACCATACAAATTACAATAACCATAACTTTAATCATAACCCAACCTTGATTCAAATTGTGACCATAACCCCAAAACATAAACCCTAGCCTTACCGCATAACCCTAACCAACCCTTAAACATTAATCATAAAACATAAATCATAACCCTACCACTAAAACACAAACCCTTATCATAAACTATAACTATAAACCCTAATCTTACCGTGAATAGCCTTAAACATATCTCTAACCATAACCCAGACTCAAACCCTAACATAAATCATAACTATAAACACTAATAATAACTTTAACCTTAATTCTAATCCAAACCCTAATCCTCAATCATACAAAAAGTTATTATTTTGAATTATTATTACTATTAGTAGTATTGTATATTATTATTATTATTATTATATTATTATTATTATTATTAATATTGTTATTATAATTATTATTATTACTACTTTGTTTTTATCACTATATATTATTATTTGAATTAATATTAGCGTATTAGTGTTATTATTAGTATTGGTATTATTATTTGTATGGCTATTGTTATTAGTATTAGGATTATTATTATGGGTTGTTTTTATTATTTATATTATTATTATTATTACAAAATTTAACATTTAACATTTTTATTTTACCAACATCTTTAAATATATCTCTGTCTTTTAAACTTATTTTTAAATTCTTATATTTATATGTAATATTTTTTATAAATTTTAACATCAAATTCATATTATTACCTACACTTCATTTTGGTTAATTTATCTTTACATTCTATGTTCAGCAGTACCTAGTATCATTATTGTTATGTGTATATTTATATTATTATTATTATTATTAATATTAATATTGATACTATTATTATTTTAGTATACATCATCATAAAATAATATAATTATTTACTTTTTTTGCATGATTCAACTTTTATTTCTATAACACATCTATACATTATATATAATTGTAATATTTAAATATATATTTCTTAAATTTATTCAAACAAATATAATAACAACTATATTGTTTTCCTAAAAGAATTATTATTATTATTATTATTTAAAAAAGACGGGCTTATGCACGGGTCAGAAGTGCTTCTTAACGTTGAAAATCTACATCGATGCATATATCTTGTTTACATACATCTATGTTTCTTTTAGTGTTTTTGTTTTTTTTGGTTCAAGAACCCGACAAATCTAAATATCCTAGTTAAATACGATAATGATTTTGCCTATGGTATCGAACGGTAAAGAAGGCCCCTACCAGGCCAAAATTGACCGCTGGATAGAATTACGGAGAAAAAAATTGAAAAATAAATAAATGAACGTAGTGTTCAGACATTTTGCAGGCAAACCATCTCCTCACAACCACACAAGCATACTTGTTTACTACAATTGAATCTTAGCATAGTTAAACCAAGCCAGAGATAAAGAATGGTACAATAAATAGGGCTAACTGTACAAGTCAATTCTAAATGGAAGCAAGCTACCATGAAAGAAGCACAAATAATGAATTAAATTAGGCTAGTAAACGACGAGGTCAACAAGTATGGAAAATTTGATGGCTCTCGTTGCCTGGCAAGTTCATCAATGTCCCTCACGATGTCAAACACCGCCTCTGGTTGTGCTAATTTAAGTGCTTTCTCTGACATTCTTTTCAGATCATCTGATTTCGTGGTGAACCATTCTGCCACCATTTTTGCTGTTTCCTTAGGACTACGGGTGAACACACCAGCTCCATTGTCGACCACGTACGGCACGTTACCCTTCTCCTGTTGTTTTTACCACACTTCCACCTCAGAATCAACATCCAACAGTAGAAATAATAAAACAAAACACAATTTAACCACTCGCCTGTCCTGGGATATAGTCGTTGAGAATTATGGGAAGCCCTCTGATCAATGCTTCTGCTATTGTACCTGGTCCAGCCTGAAAATTTCAACCAACCAATGACCCTGTTTCTTAACAATAACAGCATATGAAGGATGAAACGAAGATCAAATTACTATAACTTGCTTTTGTTATGATGCAGTCACAGGCTCCCATCCATTTGGCCATCTGGGTCTCAAATCCTCTGATCTGCAAAATCAAGAAACAAAGTTTCAGTGGGTGGCATCTGCATAATGCACAAAAACCAAGAAGCAACTTACCTTTACTGGAATCTTCCACTCGAGAGATTCAAGGGTGGATACTAAATTCTTATTCCGACCACATATGATGACTAATTGCCCAATTGGTTTCTCAGCTTCTTTATCGTAAAGTGATTCTCCCAAAGCCTTTGCAGTTTTCTTGACAGGGCCCATTCCTTCACCACCCCCCATCAGCAAAACTGCTGGCAAAATGGGATCCAACCCGAGTTCGTCCCTCAATTGATCCTGTCGTAAAAGACAGAGTAAGCACCAACAATGAAAGAAGAAGAAAAATTACACTTATAATTTGTTTAACATTTATATATACCTTCACAAGAACCGCCCTGGCAAAAGAAGGTCTGATGGGTAAGCCGAAAACACGGATTTGAGATTCATCAAGGCCATCTACAGCAGCTTTCTTCGCCACCTCTTCTGAAGGACAGTAACATCTGTTCACCCAAGGATGAAACCTGGAAATTGCTTCAAACTATGACTTAGAGCGTGTAAAAAGTTTAATCAATGTACTTCACTTCAAAGAAAGAAAAATAAAAACTCTAAAATTAAATTTTACCACGTAGGATGACAGGTACTAAGGTCGGTAATCACTGTGACAAAAACAACTTTATTCTGCAAACCTTGCCACTTCAAAACCCACAACGGAATATGCTGCATCAAGGGATGGACACTGATGATGATATCTGGCTTGTACTCCATCAACCCCGCCTCCACCTCCCTGAGAAAAAGAGAGTAGTTATAAATAAGAACACAGCGAACATAAAAAAAAAAAAAAAAAAACTTTTGCAGCTACAGAAACGAATAGTTTTATCAGTAAAGGGGAACCACATTGTTCATATCTTCCCTTTTCACCGTCAAAATCAGTTGTCAAAATTACTTATCAAAGCTAACCAAGAGAAGTATGAGAATAGGAATATACCTGGCGTAGTATGCAGCAATGGCAGCCAAATAAACAGAGTGAATCCATCTAGGAGAAGTACTATGAAAAGCAACATTCCATAACTGTACATGCTTAACCATGAATTTATATTGCCCCTCCATGTCATTCAACGGCCACCCTGTGTATTCCTTCCAAACATCCTTAACAATAATCTGAAAATTGAAAACTTTATTTAAACACATAAATCAAACAAATACTTCTTATTGCCACGAAGTTCTATCTTTCCCAAAAAAGAAAAAGAAAAAAAAAAAAAAAGAAAACTGCGCAAATAACTCCAAGAAAAAAACGTAGCGACAAAGTCCGTGTGTGCAAGACATGACAAAAAGTAAGGGTACAGATACAGCAACTAATCCAAAAATAGTTCGAGATTAGATAATTCTATTTGTTTAATTTAGTTTATGAACTAAATAAAATTCGTCTTATATGATCCATGATCTAGGTAAAATTTCCATAATTACGTTTAATTAATTCGATATTAATTTCCTTTTTTGTATAAACTAAGTAAAAACTTTTAAATAATTGTAATTAGAAACAAATTGAGTTAATTAATCCAGATGAAGCTTGAATTGAATCTAAGTTTAACTATAAGAAATGTTCGTGTTAAACTCCGAATTCCAAAGAAAAAAAGATCTTACGAAAAACACAAAAAAAAATCTCATACCAGAAAACTCCAGTGCAGAACAAATTTCGAAACAAGAAAAACAAATAAAATAGGTTAAAATTTTTAAAAAGAAACCAGTGTAACATAATTTTGTTTCTTTTTTTTTCGAAAAATGAACAAAGGAAGCAACAGATATCCAGAAGGAAGAAACGCAAAGGGAGCAACAAGATTACCCGGTATTCGTCACCGAATTCAATCTGAAAGGCGTCACGAATGGCTTCAGCGGAGGCTCTGTGACCGCCACCGGTGTCGCTCATGAGAATCAGCACGTTTTTTGTTCTTTCAGCGCCAATCTCCATGAGTTCCATGCCTCCATCGCTGTCATCGTGGCGAGCGTCAGTGGCACGCTTCTTCTGGCTGGTACTCCCATTGTGGTACCCTCCGAAGACCTTCTCTGCCATGGACTTTCTGGGCGAGGCCGCAACGG